GAATTGGATGTTGTTGCAAAGAATCGGGAATTCTCTCTACGTCTCTCTCTATCTCTCAATCCCTAATTTCAGTAATGTAAAGCAAAGAAAAAGAGAGCAGCAATTCCACCATTGACAGCCATTAAAAGGCTTTGAAGCTTTGAATTCGAATTTGGGTTTTCAAAAATCATTATTTGTTTGGATTGGGTGTTGTTGCAAACAATTGGGAATATGGTTTGGAGTTTATATCTCAATTTTGAGGGGTTTTGGTGAAGATTAGACTTGGTTTTGGCTGAATTTTAGATTGAAACTCGAAGAAGAAGAAGAAGAAGAAGAAGAAGAAGAAGAAGAAGAAGAAGAAGAAGAAGACATGATATACATTATATTTACGAAATTGTAGTAAAATTATAGAAAAATTGTATTCTATTGTTTATATATTTTTCTTTCATTTATTTAATTATTGTATGAAAGTTGAACAATATTGTATAAAAATTATATTTAATTTGTATGATATTATAGTTGTATATAACTGAGTAGAAATAATGTATAAAAATTATAGATAAGTTATATTATATATAATTAGTTGTATGAAATTTGTTTTTACTATGTATAAATCAGATACAAAATATACAAAAGACATATTGAATAAATTTTGTATTTAAGTTGTATGTTATTGTAGTTGTATTTAACTGGGCAGAAATAATGTGTGAAAGTTGTAGATAAGTTGTATAATATATGATTAGTTGTATGAAATTTATTTTTACTATGTATAAATCATATACAAAATATACAAAAGACATATTGTATAAAATTTGTATAAAAATTGTGTTTAAGTTGTATGATATTGTAGTTGTATAACTGGGTATAAATAATGTATGAAAGTTGTAAATAAGTTTTACAAGCCTATGACATAAGCTTTGGATTTTTTCGGTCTCTTTTAATTTAGACGATTTGGTATTCAAAATTCATCCAATATGAATGGACCCGGTTTCATCTATTTTGGATTTCTGCTTCTCATGCTTTTCCGGTAATTGATGATGGTACTCTCAGTCTCAAGAGGGTAATATAATTTTATATAGTGTACAGGAATGTAAAAATTCCTTTGATTATCGTGAGAATGGGCCATTCTTGAGACTGAGAGTTTTGAGTCCGAAAGATATCTACGTACCAGATTGGCAAATTAAATTGGCAGCTTTCACGTTTTACATGGTCAAAGATAAAAGGATCAACACGCACACATTAGCAACATATATAAGACGAAAACAATGTTAGAAATGCCTTCAGCCAACAAGGACGGTGCTGGTAGTTCCTAAATTGTACTCGAATTTAGTGATGCAGTTGTTAGTATTTTTGGTGATCTGGTGAAGAAGAGAAAAAAAAGGTAAAGGGTGTAACTAAATCCCTTAATTGAAGGCACTAATAATGGGTTGGGAGCCTTTTAAGGTGGATTGTATATATTTTGTAAACAAAACTTGTGTAGGTAGGTTAATTTACTAAACGTGAACATTTAGGGTAATAAAGTTTCCAATAGTGTATAAGAATGAAAAAATCTCTTTAAAATATTAGAACAAAATAAGTACTAGTTAATCTCTCAATAGAATCCCTAAGAATGGCTATTTGTGCACTTGCCCCACTAATAACTACGCCTGGGCCAAGCATGTCAACAAAGCCCATCAAAATATGGACAAGCCCAAGCTCACCCCTATTCCTCTTTGGTCATATTTTAGTAGAAATGGCGTGGGGTAGCCACTATTTAAGGTGATATTTATTTTTTATCCACCAATTCTAATGTTGAGCAAAAATAGCCACTACTTTATTAATATTAATATAAAAAGATATTTTTACCCTTTCTTCCCAAACCCTTGCTTCTCTCTCTGCATCGAACTTGAGAAAGACCCCCTGACAACATTAGCTACTGATCATCCTCTCGGACATCAATTGTGTCCCAAATCTCAAACACAACATTTAAGACAGTGGAAAAGAGTGAGATCCAGAGAAAAAGGAGGAAAAAAAATCTCTCTCAAAAGTCAGAAGAGAACGAGAAGGAGCTGACCATTTGATAGAGAAAACAAAGAAAATGGGATTAATGGTTTTGAATTCCTTACTGCTTTTATAAGCCTCTCATTTTCTTTTGTGTCTGCTTTCAGGAGTTGAATTGCTTGGTTTCACTCATAATAATCACAATGTGGGAGGACGTGACTTTTGGTTATCTAAAAAAAGTGACTTTTAGATTTTCTTAAACAACAGATAATTAGGAAAAATATGGTAAAAAGCCAAAAAGTTGAGGACAAAGATAATTGTGATAAGGACATGTAGTCCTGAAGTCCTAAAGTTAAATTCAAAAGTTAAGGACATTGGCCTGAACTTAGAGTTTCAAGTTCAAAAGTTAAGAAAATGTAGTCCTGAATTTCTAAAGTTAAGTTCAATAGTTAAGGACACAAGTTCAAAAGTTAAGGACAGGCAGTCCTTAACTTACAGTTACAAGTTCTAAAGTTAAGGACATGTAGTCCTTAACTTATAGTTACAAGTTCAAAAGTTAAGGACATGCAGTCCTTAACTTTGATTTTCAAGTTCAAAAGTTAAGGACAGACAGTCCTTAACTTACAGTTACACGTTCAAAAGTTAAAGACAAGCAGTCCTTAACTTACAGTTACAAGTTCAAAAGTTAAGGACAATAGGTCCTTAACTTTGATTTCCAAGTTCAAAAGTTAAGGACAGACAGTCCTTAACTTACAGTTACACGTTCAAAAGTTAAGGACAAGCAGTCCTTAACTTACAGTTACAAGTTCAAAAGTTAAGGACAATAGGTCCTTAACTTTGACTTACAAGTTCAAAAGTTAAGGACGCTTGGTCCTGAAGTTTGAGTTCCAAGTTCAAAAGTTAAGGACATGTAGCCTTGAAGTCCTGAACTTAGAGTTACAAGTTCAAAAGTTAAGGACATGTAGTCCTGATGTCCTGAACTTAGAGTTCCAAGTTCAAAAGTTAAGGACATGTAGTCCTGAAGTTAAGTACAAAAGTTAAGGACATGAGCAGAAAGGTATTTTCGTCCGGGCAGTTAAAGTTTATTAAAGCAGTGGCTAAAGACTAAAGACATATTAAATGGTGGCTTAAAAGTAAATACATATGTTATTAGCGGCCAACCGTGCACTTCCCCCCATATTTTACCTAGTATCATATGGGGAAGTTGAAGCAACTTGAGTAACTACAAGCCTGCTAGTTCACTGTCTACACGTTTCTACAATGAACATTTCAAACTTAATTAGCCCTGATTGTCCATTTTGCTAGTTGGTCTAAATCAAATACATATTGCTAGTAGGTAAAATGCTTCCTCATATTGGGTAGACCAAGTAAAATTACTTTAAGGGTGTTTTAGTACGAAGGAAAATGTTTTCCAATTTTTCCACATTTGGTTGGCTCAAAAGTTTTGGAAAATATTTTTCTTATGAACTTATTTTCCTCCAATTGAAGGAAATTACTTTCCTTATCAAGAGAAGGGAAAACATTTTCCAAAACTCCTTCTCAACCTTCCCCACCCTATTCCCCACACCTCACCAACCCACCCCATACCTACCCACCCCACCCAACCCCTTCTCTCCAAAAAAGCTTTTTTTTTTCACCACCCACCCTACAACACCCCCTCCCCCCCAAAAAAAATATTATTTTTACTTTTTTTTAATTTAAATTCCTGTTTTTCCATTTTTCTGCACCCCAACCCCGCACAATTTTTTTTTTACTTTTTTTTTTTGTAATTTCAAATTTCTTTTTTTTCGTTTTTCTGCATAACCCCCCCACCCCCAACCGAAAAAAGAATATTTTTTATTATATATTTTCAGTTTTAGTTTTTTTTCATCTTTCGGTTTACAGGTTCGAAATTTTACAAGTTCCAAAGTTATGAGTTCGGAGGTTTAAGTGTTTGGAATTTTTCGGGTTTAGAAATTATAAAGTTTAGCGGTTCAGAAGTTTATGAAGTTTGTGGGTTCGGAAGGTTATTAGTTCGAAAGTTTATGGCTTCATATTTATTGTATCTAAATTATTTATGAATACTCTTGATAAGTATTTTCCTTAATTTGCGTACCAAACACCGGAAAATAAATAAGATTACTATTTGTTTTTCAAGAAAACGTTTTCTTGGAAAACATTTTCCGTTATACCAAATACACCCTAAGAGTTCAATTCAATGGCGGTGTTTGAGCTACCTGATGCGATTCAAATATTTCACCGAATACCTATTACTTTCTACCAGTACAATAGCCCGTTTGGCCAAGCTGCAAAAATCAGCTTATTTTGAGAAGTGTTTTTTTTTCAAAAGTGCTTTTCTCAAAAGTACTTTTGGTGAGAAGCAGTTTGTGTTTGGCGAATTAGTTTGAAACGCACTTCTGAGCAGCAATTAGTGTTTGGTCAAGCTTTAAAAAACTACTTCTAAGTGTATTTCCTTCTAAAAAAAGTGCTTTTGGAGAGAAGCTACTTTTTTCTGCTTCTCCAAAACTGCTTCTGCTTCTCCTCAAAAGCACTTTTTTTCCTTCCAAAAGCTTAGCCGAAAAAAAGCTTGGCCAAACAGGCTATAAGTGTCGAGTAACTATGTTCAAATATTTGCCGCGATTCAAATATTTCACCAAAGTTGAGCATTCTATCGCAAATGCTTGAACCTTTTCTTTAGACAAGATTTTTTTTTAGTTCTAATATCTTCAATTCTGAAATAGAAATATTGGATGAACTTGCACTAATTAAGTATCAATTTTAAGGCATGGCCAGTGGCGAAACTAGGAATTTCTCCGAGGGCGTTCAAATTTTAAAAAAGTGAAAAAAAATTCCGATAAAGGGTGTTCAATATGTGTTATATACCTCTAAAACGTAATATTTTACCTATGTACATAGTGTAATTTTTCGACAAATGGTGGTCAACGACTTCGTCACTGGGCATGGCATACCTTCAGATATTACACTTTTTTAACACATGCCTTGCTTGTTCATTCAGCCAATCCGTACTCAAAAATTCACTCCAAAATCTAAGAAAAAAAAGATGGAAAATTTGAATGGTCGATCACAAATCAATATCAATGTTAGTTAGACCTACCTCTGGTCCACAACTTCCATAAAGTAGGTCACAAGACTTTCTTCTTTTAGTACAATACAAATAATCACCCAAAAACAAAAAGAAATTATGATAATCTACTGTTAGATACAACTTCACATACTGTATGATACATGACATAGACATTTATGATAATCTACTGTTAGATACAACTTCTCAAATAGCTTTAAACCTAGACCTACAACCTAACTAACCAAAAAAGCAGCATGATACAGGGAAGAACTGTGTACCAAAGGGCCGGGGTACAAGTAAACCCTGATATAAGCAGCATAAGAGACTGATTTCACAACTCGAACTCGTAATCTAAGGGTCACACAGAGACAACTTGACCATTGCTGCCTTCAAACCAAATAACTTGACCATTACATCCTAACTAACCAAATCAAATAAAACATTAAGAGTAAAAACAAAAGGATTCTACAAACTGATTTAGGGAGAAATTGGAATATCTTGATTGCCCAATTTGAAGTTCAAGTTAATAATCAACAACACGATCGTCTTTATTCCTTCTAACAAGAGCAAAATAACCAAGAACAGCACAAAGAGCAGCTACAACATTCCCTTCTTTAATCAAAACCTTAACAACAAATCCAATAATATCAGCAGTTAATTTCTTGCCTTCTAAAACCAAATCCCTTCTGGGTTTTCCAGCAAAAGTCAACAAAACCAAAATTGTAATCCAAGTAACTAAAGTAGCTGGAACTGCAACAGCTAAAGCTGCTACCATAGACAAAACCCCAAAAGCTACACCTAATAATACAGATGCATATAAAGCAGGCCAACCAGCTGAAGCTGAAGTTGTTGAATTTGACATCGTTGATTCATACCAAGAAAGCACTGTTTTAAGAAAATTCCAAGAAATTGAGAATAAAATTGTGTAAACAGAAACAAAGAGAAATACCCATGTTCTTCTTTTGCTCATGATTTTTATGAGAAACATAGTTGATTGATTTTCTTGTTGTTGTAAAGGTTCTTGTTCTTTGGTTTCTGCCATAGATTTGGGTATATGATTTGATGGCTTTTTTGGACTTTGATTTTTCTCTCTTAGCTTTCCTTGTACTTTCTTCACTTTCTGCGTCGTTTCCTTTTTACCTATTCTGTGTTGTTTTGGTAAACAAGGGGATAATACTAGAATGCTTTTATTTACCCAAACGAGGCATAACGCGCTTGTTAGTGCGTGGAAGCTTTTTGCTTTTACAATGTGCAACTGCAACCCCCTCTTTACTGATATAAATAGGGGTGTTCATAAAAATCCGAAAAACCGAACCAAATCAAATTGACCAAAAAAATTGATACTTTTTGGTTTGGTTTTGAATTTTAAAAATCGATCAAATTTGGTTTGGTTTTGATTTTAATCAAAAAATAACCGAAAAAATCGAACCAAACCAACTATATGAGTAGCTATTTCAAATTTATTATTACACCTATATATATGTATATTTTTATACAAAGCTTCAAAAATTTTATGGTGAATGTTAATCGTTTGCACTTTTAGTACAATTCTTTACCTTTATATTCTAGTTTGATAGGTAGTTTTCTTTTGTTAAGTGTAAGAATCCATTTCATGTTTAAATAAATATATTTTTAATTGTGTCCTTAAATTATTCATCACTATTTGATTCAATTATCATCAATATATTTTAGTAAATAATAGATTTCTCAAAGGGCAATTGATTTGATAGTGTTACGTTGAAAATGTGGTCGCCGGAATATGTATTTGGTAGTGTATGTATTATATTTAAGAAAAAACGATAAATAACCGAAAAACCGACAAAAATCGAATCGAGAAAAAACCGACTTAATTGGTTTGGTTTGGTTCTAATATTTGAAAATCGACTTACTTAGTTTGGTTTCTTTTTAGGGAAAAACCAATCCAAACTGAACCATGAACACCCCTAGATATAATATAGAGAAAATGCATAAAGTGAATTTAAATGCGACCTTTTACTCCCTTATTCTAATCTTAAGTGAATTTAATACCCCATTGAGTGATGACCTTATATGAAAAGTGTAGTTCATTTCCTAGATGCGCGTGAGGCACAAAAAACAACTTACAACTAATTTATTGTCCAGGTGTCACTTTCCTATTGGATACTCCAACTAATTAAACTTAATACTAATTTTTTCTCTTTTCTTATTCATTTTTCTTTTCTTTTTCGTTTTTTTTTCTCTTTCTTCATTTTAACAGAACCATGGTTCTCCAATAGTCTGCCATTATCATCTCGTGCCATCCTCTTCCTCCCCATGCTTTGAAACTAGTCATGTTTTGTTTATTGCTTCTCGTTTTCTTGTTGAATCTCTATTCACACTCCTTTTCCCCCCCACCATATTCACCTACCTTTACAAACTCCATTTCATCGCATATTTTCTCTCTTATCTCCTCGATTTGATAGAAACATAAGTTCTCTTAACCAATTGGGTCATGGATTTAGGTTGGAATAATTTTAACACTTGATTGGAGAGCTTGATGTTCGCCAATACCATTTTTTGTACAAGAAATTTTCTCTCCTTTTCTCTTAGATCTGGGTGTGTGAGACTGATGTGAAGGAAAAATGGTCAAATTAGAGGTGTTAAAGTGGAGTGGTAGGGGGAGATGGTTTTGATTTTTCAGAGATAGAGTTTATGGGTTTAAGGGGGGTTATTGCTGTGACTGCCTTCCATGGTGGTGGGCTGCAAGAATACTGATGAAGGAAGGTGGAGAAGATGAAATGAAAAAAAGATGGAAGAAGTAAAATAAAAAATGAAATAGTGCAGTATTTAATACATGGCGCGTATTAAACACAGCCTACTTAATAACAACACGATAGATGATTCAAGAATTACTAAAGAAAAATAAGAAAATCAAGAAACGCGCGGAAGCTAAAAAAAATAAAGAAACAAAAAAGGACGGAAAATTAAAGATAGATTGAATTCAAGAAACAAAGAACTAATTGCCTTTGGTAGAGAATTAAAAACAAGAGATAGATTGTGAAACCCGACCCTTTAGAATAACAAGAACAACAATAAGCCTAAGCTTATCACCTTTCTTGAATACCTAGAAGTGATCTAAGATTTCGAAAGAGTTTAATCTTACCAGCTTAAGTTGAGTCTTGAAGGTTAAAGAATAAATCCAAGAGTAGCCACACACAAGAATGCAAGAAAAATCTTACAATTTTTATTGATAATAGTCTAAGTCTAAAAAAAAAGAAGATACCGCTTTATATAGGGAAGGGGTCACGAAATTCTACCTAAAAAAATAAGAAAATAAAGTCCTAAACTACTTTGGACAACAAGTCCAACTACCATAGGAAAAGGTAAAACTCTAGGAAACAAAAACCAAGTCAATCTTGGAAAGCAATTCCAATAATCTTAGGAAAAAGCAAAATAAAACCTTAACTACCTAGGAAAGCATCAAATATGTCCTAACAAACTAGGAAACAAAATAAGGAACTATGACTTCTTCTCCTTTGTCTTGGTCGCCCCTCCTTGAGCTGACTTGGGCGCCAAGTTGGCTCCTTTGTGAGCTGATTTAGGCGCCTAATTTAGGCGCTCCTTGGCTGGGGCTTGGACCCCAATCTACCTCCTTTTGGACTTGGACTTGGACCATGAAATGAGTGTAGCACTTAGCAAAATCCTCTCCATAATTCTTGAGCTCTTCTTCCATCATTAGCGCCTTCTTGATCTCCTATTGAAGCCCAACAACCTTGTCTTGCTTCTCCTTAGCTTGAGACCTTGTGAATGGCTTTCTTGGTGCTCCTAAAGCTTTATCCTTATCAGTGGAGCTATCATTCCCCTCCTCTTGCAAAGAATTCGTACTCGAATTTGAACCTACATCAAACAAGGATAAGTCAGCAACATTGAAAGTAGCACTTACTTGAAATTCACCTGGATGGTCCAATTTGTAAGCATTATCTCCAATCCTTTCAAGTACTTTAAATGGGCCATCTCCTCTAGGGTGCAATTTTGTCTTCCTTTTTGAAGGAAATCTCTCCTTCCTCATATGAACCCAAACCAAATCACCATGCTCATTCCTCCTCTCAATCGCAAGCCTCGTATGCTCACGAATAGTCTTCATCAAATCAGCTTTCTTTTTTCCATCAAGACTAACCATCTCATTAGTAGGCTAAGGCAATAAGTCAAGGGGTGTAAGGGGGTTAAAGCCATAAACAACTTCAAAAGGAGAATAACCAGTAGATGAATGAACAGTTCGATTGTAAGCAAATTCTACCATAGGCAAGTGATCCTCCCAAGAAGTTAATTTTCCTTTTAGAACAGCCCTTAACATATTTCCTAAGGTTCTATTTACTACCTCAGTTTGCCCATCAGTTTGTGGATGACACGAAGTAGAAAACAACAATTTTGTTCCCAATTTTCCCAAAGCGCACGCCAAAGTGGCTTAGAAACTTAGCATCCCTATCACTAACAATAGTTCGAGGTATACCATGCAATTTAACAACTTCTCTAACAAATAAATCAGCAACATGAGAAGCATCATTAGTCTTTAAACAAGGAATAAAACGAGCCATTTTTGAGAACCTATCTACCACAACAAAGATGCTATCCTTACCATACCTTGTTCTAGGCAGTCCTAACACAAAGTCCATAGAAATATCAATCCAAGGTGAAATAGGCACAGGTAATGGCGTGTATAAACCATGTGGCAACACTTTAGATTTAGCTTGTTTGCATTCAAGGCATTGAGCACAAAATCTTTCTACATCTTTTCTCATATTAGGCCAAAAGAAATTTTCAGCAAGGATGTCAAGTGTTTTAGGCACACCAAAGTGTCCCATAAGCCCCCCACAATGTGCTTCCCTCACAAAAACTTCTCGCAAAGAACAATTAGGGACACAAAGCTTATTTTCTTTAAAAAGAAACCCATCTTTCAGATTATACTTCTCAAAAGGCCCATTTAAACATGCCGAAAATGATACATCAAAATCAGAATCATCAATATATAAATCCTTAATATGATAAAATCCCATCAATTTAGAAGTAAGAGTAGAAACAAGAGCGTACCTTCTTGAAAGCGCATCAGCAACTATATTTCTTTACCTTACTTGTAGCTAATCACATAAGGAAATGTCTCAATGAATTCAACGCATTTGGCATGTCTTCTACTCAATTTACCTTGGCTTTTCAAGTATCTTAAGGACTCATGGTTAGTTTTTATCACAAAATCCTTTGGCCACAAATAATGCCGCCATGTAGCAAGAGCCCTTACCAAGGCATACAATTCTTTATCATAAGTAGAATAATTCAATGCACCCCCATTCAACTTCTCACTAAAATAAGCGACTGGTTTAGAATCTTGCATTAAAACAACCCCAATGCCTCTACCAGATGCATCACATTCAATTTCAAAGGACTTATTAAAATCAGGTAATATTAACAAAGGAGCAGAACACAATTTATCCTTCAAAATATTAAATGCATGCACTTGTTATTTTACCCAATTAAAGACCTTATCCTTCTTAATGACTTCAGTTAAAGGAGCAACAATTGAACTAAAATCTCTAACAAATCTCCTATAAAAGCTAGCAAGTCTATGAAAACTTCTAACTTCAGTAATGCTCTTAGGTGTAGGCCAATCTTTAATCGCTTTGATTTTACCTTCATCTACCTCAACACCTCTATAACTCACAACAAAACCCAAGAAAACTACCTTATCTACACAAAAAATGCACTTGGATAGATTTGCATACAATTGTTGCTTCCTAAGCACATTACAAACTTGTTTCAAATGTTCGACATGCTCTTCTAAAGATTTAGAAAAGATCAGAATATCATCAAAATAAACAACTACAAATTTTCCATGAAAATCCTTAAAGATATGGTTCATTAACCTCATGAATGTAGTAGGTGCATTAGTTAACCCGAACGGCATCACTAACCATTCATACAATCCATATTTAGTTTTAAAGGCAGTTTTCCATTCATCTCCAGGATTCATTCTAATTTGGTGATATCCACTCTTCAAATCAATTTTAGAGAATATTTGAGAACCATGTAATTGGTCAAGCATATCATCTAAACGAGGAATAGGATGGCGATACTTTACCGTTATTTTATTGATGGCGCGGCAGTCCACGCACATCCTCCAAGTGCCATCTTTCTTTGACACCGAAAGCACGGGCACAGAACTGGGACTCATGCTTTCTCTTACAAATCCCTTATCAAGCAGCTCCTCTACTTGTCTTTGCAAT